ATATATCTCACTATCGAAAAAGACTATATTCTTAAATAAAGAATATATTCTTAAATAAAATTCTTAAATATAAATAATATATTCTTAATTTCAGAAGAATATCATCTAAAATTTTTAAGAAGATTTTTTAAGTATAAAATCTTCTACTTACGAGAATATAATTTTTTCGGTGTAAAAGAATTCAATTTTATTTTTATTGCTTAGATTAATATGACAAAGTTGCGTTTGTTCACCTCAGAAGACCATTTCGAATACAGCCAGGAAGCGTGATGTTTCATATCGCGCGTCATCGTGCCACAAGATGTTACTTCGCAAGCTTTTTGGGATTCCGGCTTGGTGTTTAACGAGCAAGTCTCTCCGGACGTTATGCAAGTCACCGTTCGATTTCGAGTTCCACGACCGCACGTCACCGAGCACTAAAATCCACACAATTACGTGAGATAAATCGAAAATTAGTGATTATAAGCCAAAAATATACGAAGCGCTCGATCGACTTCCGATTTTAATTTTGTTTCTGCGCTAGAAATTTTTTAACAAAGATATGTTTAACAAAAAGTAGCGACTCACCGGGCCCCAAGTACCCACGTCCCACCTGGGCTCGTCGTATTGGGAGGACAAATTCCTCAGTTCCGGATTCGCGTTGGGACAATTCGACAGACTGCAAATTTCCGTGGTGTTCAGATTCGGCGGCTCGATGCACGCACCGGCGGCCACAGATATCGTCAATTCCGCGTTCAGTTCCTGAACGCACTCTAATCTCCGCGTTCTCACGCCGATCCCACAAGTAACCGAACATTCGCTCCACGGTCCGGTTTGCCATCTGACATTTTCAGTTTTTTGAAATATCCGCAATGTGACACCCCGTCCAAAAAAATGTGTTACATAGTGTACGAAATTTACGTAGCGCGATAAAAATATTTTCAGTTTTTTATTTTTTTTTTCTCGCGCGTGCGAGGTGACAATGTTGTGACAAGAGTAATTTCTAATTTACATTTACACAAAATACTTACAAAGATATTTACTGTATACAGAAAGTAAAAAAAAACAAAAAAAAAATAGAGAATAATAAACTGTCGCGGGATCTATTGGAAAATTATCAAAGAAAAGTGTCATATCATATATGTATATGTGTGTATTACCATAAGTACCTGGGAACGCAAGGACGATCGTTACATCGTAGAGGGGGAGGTTTCTCGATGTTGCGACAGCGTTTCTCATTTACATGCGTCTGAGTGTCCTCGCGAACGCATTTTGCGATCGGTGTCTGCAAGCCTGCAATGCAACAAATCAAACTCCCAATATTTTCACAAGATGTTCATTGTTTTATCTCTGTTCAAATTAATTTTTGTAAAAAACAATTTTTTTAAATAAGCGATAAATGAGGTGTGACCTCCGGCTCCTTTTGGTAACTCCAATAAATTGAATCAATTAGCAGGGCAATAATGAGCCACGGCAGGATGTTGTGCCGTAGAAAAAATTAAAAAATGTAATTGAGACGTTTCGACGTTTATTTTTTAAGTCCTTATCAATCGTTAATCAATAGAGTTGTCAAATTTTTAGTCGGTATAACTCGACATTACGAAATTCAAAAACGCTTAAACAATTACAGAAAATGAAACGAGTCATGTCGTGTATTTTTTAACAGACTGTCTGTTGACTGTCTGTTGACAGTCTCTCTATGATTAACAATTGATAAGGACTTAAAAAATAAACGTCGAAACGTCTCAATTACATTTTTTAATTTTTTCTACGACACAACATTCTGCCATGGCTCATTATTGCCCCGCTAATTGATTCAATTTATTGGAATTTTTTTAAAATCTTTTTTAAAATTATTCTGCGCGCATGAAGTTAAAAAGCAGGTGTGAAAATGCACGAAAAAAATTCGCATTATCTTATAGTCGCCGACTTTCCGTGTTGTCGCATTAAAACGCGTGTCTAATTGTGTCAAACGCATCTCGCGGGTCACTTCCCACGCAATGTCCCCCAGTGATGTCCAGACGAAGAAGTCGTTTTCGCAATGACCTCTAATTATCCAGGCGCTTTTTGCCTAATTGTTCAATCGACTCATCACGACAGATCAAACTCGCAAATTAAAGTGACATATTTTTTTTTATACACAAAAACACAAATATTTTTATTATCTCGTTTGATTTAACGCTTAAAATTTTACGAAATATATATTTTTTATTAATTAATATAAATGATTGTATACACGGACAAAAAAAAATGATGTTGAATCAACAGTATCGGTTTATATTGATATATAATATATTTTTAATAATTTATTGAATATATTATTAATATATATATTGAAAAAAATGATGTTGAATCAACAGTATCGGTTTAATAATATATAATATATTTTTAATAATATATTGAATATATTATTAATATATATATTGAATAATATATTGATTTAATAATATATTGAAATATATTCTGTTGATGCAACATCAATATTGTTGCACTACACACGGCAGATAGTCGCTTTAAGAATCTAGACGCAATTGAATGAACTATTTAATTTTGCGTCAGCCCGTGACATCAACTTTAATTAAAGCAACTCCATTTTTTTTTCTTTGTATATTCTTCAAAAGTACTTTTTTATCGAGGGAGGATAGTGCGAGAAATAATCGACTAATTTTTAATCGCATTCTTTTGTTGTCTCTTCTGTGTCAAAGTGGCGGCTCAAACATCGCTCTGTTAATTTGACACAAATTTTACATTACGTAATCAATTAAACCGTTCGCGTTGTACGACCGCAAATATATACAGTAGTTCCTCGATTTGGTGTTCACAAAATTCACCTCGTTTTGATGTTCCATCGTTATTTCCTCCGCATTTCGGTCTCGATTTCATTTTGTTCTCGCTTTCGTTCTTCTCGTAGCTGTTTCTCGCGAACGCACCCGAGCTCTTGGAAGGCGAACGAGTTCGCATCTTATAGATTTTCACGTGTGTTCCGAATCGCGCACAAACCGAGGAACTATTGTAACATCGATATTGGAGTCAGGGAGAATTTTTCTAATTTGCAACGAGAGACACGCAACACCCCGACACACACATAAACCGCGCGATGCAACGACGCGTGATTAATTTCGAGTCAAGTTTCCTTTACCTCCTCCGCATTTCTTCGTGCAAACAGCGAAACCCGTCACTTTCCAATTGAATTTTCTCCTCTTCTTCTTCGTCTTCAACTTCGGCTGGTCGCCCGCCATCACCTTTATCTCGTCCTTCCGCTCGCCGTCGTTCCGAGCGCGCGGCGGATCGCGATCGCGATTTAGCCCGTAAGATAAATCGCCTCGCCAATCCGATCTGGAAAGCAAGACGGCGAACGAGAACTGCGTGAAACGAAGACAAATCGCGCGGCTCGGATTTTTCGAGAACGGAAGATATACGAACACGCCGTTAAATATAATTAAGTAAACAATAAAATACGACGTTGAAGAACCTAACACATTCGAGAAGTTAAATTTTTATATATTTCTGAGTAAAAAATTTTTTTCTCTCTCAATAATTTAAATAAAAATCATGTCAAACCTTAAAACGGGTATTTGCACGTTCGTGTGTGTGTACGGCGGACTAGGTATTTCGTTCGATCCTCTATCCTTCGATCCTGCGAGAAAAAGAATAAGACGTTTCCGAGTACTAATATGCAGATGTACATACAAGCCCGTAGGTAAACTGTAGTTTTTTTTTTTTTTTTTACTCGTATGTGTAATTGATCGGCGATAAAGCAATTACCTGCGACAAGCAACGGCGGTGCAATCACCGCTTTATCGTCCGACACTTCCTTCGTCGTGGGTAACATGTACTTGTAGAGTACCCCCGGATTCGACTCCACGGATAAGATCTACGATAAGATGCACGTACACAAGCAGTATTTAAAATTTAAAGTTCGAAGTCGATTAAATACTATTAATTTATAATATATGAATGATTATAATATTAATTTATATATTAATTTATAATTAATTTATAATAAATGAATCTATAAACTAGAACGCGTTCAAAGATGTTGCAAATGAAAGGTCACGTTATTAAACATTATAGCGTATAAATACGAAAAATAAATAAAATAAACTATAAATTGTTTTCAAACGCATTATTGAGTACACGGACAAAAAAAAATGATGTTGAATCAACAGTATCGGTTTGATTGAAATATATCCTGTTGATGCAACATCAATATTGTTACACACGGCAGATAGTTGCTTTAAGAATCTAGACGTTAAATTAATCGCACACGCAATTGAATGAACTATTTATTTTTGTGCCAGCCCGTGACATCAATTTTAATTAAAGCAACTCCATTTTTTTTTTCTGTGTATATAAACAGAGAGAACGTTTGCTCTCTCAGAATGTAGATATATATAATAGTGAGAAACTTAGAAAATAAACAGGAAAAGTATAATGGCCATTTAAAGCAAAAAACACTGGTGATAATGTGTGTACGATAGAAGCATTATTTTATTCAAGCAGGTAACATAGAACGTTTTCGCCCTTAGATTAGGCCTTTATCAATATATATATATAAAAATGTTGTTCTTGAATTAAAAACTTTATCGAGTCACATGATTACAATTCAGAAATATAAAAGTAACTTCTATCATACACACATTATCACCAGTGTTTTTTGCTTCAAATGGCCATTATACTTTTCCTGTTCTTGTGAGAATTTTTTTGAAGCGTACTATACTCCTCTTCTATTAGAAAATAAACAATACGAAGAAAATTAAAATTTAAAATAATTCGAAAGAGAGAAATTGATTGATTTGATTGATTATGCTTTAATTATAATGCGCTCTGGGAAAAATTCCCCTCAAGCGCTTGCAATACAAAAGAAATTATAAGCGCAGAAAATATTCAATATAAGTACAAAGAACTATATAAATGAGTATTAGAGGAATATATAAAAAATTACATAAATAAAGAAAAATCTAAATACAAAAATATTAATTAGAAGGAAGAAAATATAAATACAAAATATAAATTAAAAAATAAATAAATAAATAAAAAAAATATAAATTCAAAAATATAAATTATAAAAATATATGTATAACAAGTGATAAAGATTTCAAAATATAAGAAAATACATATAAAAACAATAAAATATATAAGAACGCTGAAACAAGTGTTAAGTTCAGCAAAAACATGCGAATATATAAACTTCGCTACAGAANTGTCAAATTTAACGGTATGTCAAACAGATATGCGAAATTGAATATATAAAAAGAGAGAGAGAGAGAGAGAGAGAGAGAGAGAGAGAGAGAGAGAGAGAGAGAGAGAGTAAAATTTAATCATATATTATAGCGCACACATATAATTTGAATAAATAGTTTTCATTTCTGACGTGGCTAATGAAGAGTCGGTAATACGAAATGAGGAACTTAATATACCTCTAAATGCAAGGAGTCGTTCAACGGTCCGGTCGCCAAGATGCACTCCATGCGGTTCCTATCGCCTCTCTGATATGTTAATGTCGTACCAACCGCCTTGTAAGTACCACTGGGACTATATGACCGCGGTCCGTTTAGAATGTACCTGTCGGTGCTGTCTTTCAACGCTACAAATAGAGATCAAGATCGTTCGTTAATTAAATATTTATCGGTATTGTGTCAAGAACGCAACTCGCTTTTAAAAAAATTACTTAAACACGATCGCCAAAGTGGTTGTACAAAACAAATTTTCACGATAATTTGCGGTGATTTACTCTTCCGCGATCTTTTAATGCAAAATACCACTTTATTATTTACCGCAAATAATAATTCTATCATTTGTTAAACATTAATTAAAATTTCTCTCTCTAATTAGTTTTTTTAAAATATGAATTCATTATTAATTACGTTATACCTAAAAAATTACTGCTGGGCCGCAACTCGGAAATGTTGAGCGACATGGCACCCCTCGGGATCGTGGTCACGTGCTGATGACCCTTGGGCAAAAGTGATTGCATGAAAATGCCTTCGTACAGTCTACAACCCTTACCCTGACCGCCGCACACGCCGCAGGAATCCATTGTTACGGCGGAACCGACTACGCCGTCGCACCCTACGGCCTGAATGTGCAAACATGTGAATTTCCGCCGCTGCTGCTGCTGCTGCTGCTTTTTGCGTTTAAATACGAACTAGAAAATTTAACTGCATGTCCGTGGATTTCTCCGAGAATTTAATTTCCGACCTGTTTCAAATAATTCACGGTTCTTTTGAAAGAAAAAGATATTCTTCTCGCAAATATAAAATTGCATGTGCTTTTTTCCATACAGCGCTACATACTAGTTCCATACGAGAGCTCGTAATAAACTCGGGAGAACATAATTGCCGAATTTATTGCCCGATGAACGTATCTGACTGACGCGTCGAGCGCGCAATAAATAATCGCGATATCGGCAGGAAAAGGGAACGAAAAAGAGACAAAGGGTTGAAAGCTCGAAAGGACCAATAGAGAGTTTCGTATCGCGCACCGGTTATTAATTTTCCGGCATCACATTCTCTCGATATTGCGTTCGCACTGCGTGCTCCGTATATACCTTGCACTGTCCGGCGACGCAGAGCCATCGTTCGCCGGCGTTGCGTTCCGTCGAAATCCCGCGTCCACGAAGATTTCGAGGCTCGCATGGCGTGCCGTCCATCACCGTCGGTTCCAATGTCGCGTAAAACCGCTCGCCGACCGCGCGGCAATTGAGCGCGCACGAGTTCGGCGCTGAGAAACATCAATATAAATTATCTATATTACAGTTAGAAAAACATACCAGGTGGAATTTGTATCATTCCGTGTATCGATTGTCTCGTATCGAAACAACAATGTTTTAATAGATGCCTGCACCGAAAAAATTGTATTCTTGTTTTGAGGAGAAAGAGATATCCCACTTACTTTAAGTATATTTTATACTAAAATAGGCGCCAAGAAAAGTTTCTTATTTTAAGAGGAAAATCCTCTAAATAGTAATATTGACAAGAATATATACTGATTAGAATATAAAAAGCCTCTATGAAAAAACATATATATCTCACTATCGAAAAAGACTATATTCTTAAATTAAGAATATATTCCTAAATAAAGAATATCATCTAAAATCTTTAAGAAGATTTTTTAAGTATACAATCTACTTACGAGAATATAATTTTTTTGGTGTGCCGTATATCATGAATATGTCAGATGAAATAATTACTCAGATTAAATTATAATCCGCTAAAATACAAGTCGATGTACTCAATCTTCTATATTTTGCAAGATAATTTCGGATTGCAAGAGGATTAAGTACACCGAAAAAATTGTATTCTTGTTTTGAGGATATCCCACTTACTTTAAGTATATTTTATACTAAAATAGGCGCCAAGAAGAGTTTTTTATTTTAAGAGGAAAATCCTCTAAATAGTAATATTGATACGAATATATACTGATTAGAATATAAAAATCTCTCTATAGAAAAACATATATATCTCACTATCGAAAAAGACTATATTCTTAAATTAAGAATATATTCTTAAATAAAGAAGAGTTTCTTATTTTAAGAGGAAAATCCTCTAAATAGTAATATTGATAAGAATATATACTGATTAGAATATAAAAATCTCTCTATAAAAAAACATATATATCTCACTATCAAAAAAGACTATATTCTTAAATAAAGAATATATTCTTAATTTCAGAAGAATATCATCTAAGATCTTTAAGAAGATTTTTTAAGTATAAAATCTTCTACTTACGAGAATATAATTTTTTCGGTGTACTAAAACAGAGAATTAAATTTATTTTAAGAAATACACTTATATGTAACAAATATCGATTGTTAATTTTTCTTGCTGTAAACACATATTAACAATATAATAAAAGAAGTCGCGCAATGTCAGCTGTTACACCGAAAAAATTATATTCTTGTTTTGAGGGGATATATCCCACTTACTTTAAGTATATTTTATACTAAAATAGGCGCCAAGAAGAGTTTCTTATTTTAGGAGGAAAATCCTCTAAATAGTAATATTGATAAGAATATATACTGATTAGAATATAAAGAGCCTCAATAGAAAAACATATATATCTCACTATCGAAAAAGACTATATTCTTAAATTAAGACCATATTCTTAAATAAAGAATATATTCTTAATTTCAGAAGAATATCATCTAAGATCTTGAAGAAGATTTTTTAAGTATAAAATCTTCTACTTACGAGAATTATAAGTTTTTCGGTGTGTAATCGAACGCCAATTCGATTTTTCAAACTCACCGTCCAGAAAAGGCACCCAAACGTAAGTACGATTCTTGTAGCTCTTCCCGTTGTACTTGGCGCATTGTTGCTCCCGGAGATCTTCCGAGAAGTTCGGGCAATCCTGCACGAACATGCAATATGGATCAAAGATCGGATTTAACTTGCGTTAAATCGAACAAAATAAATACGGAAAAAGTTACATATTTCGAAAAGATAAGTAACGCTCCATCCAGGATTAAATAAAAGCATAATTATTTCCGGTCTTGTGCAAAAAAAAAAAATGCTATTCCGAGCTGCGCAATCGCGGAACGAAAATTCATATTTATATTCACGCGAACGTATGTGTCTAAATAATTTCCGGTTTAGACTTTATTAATTGTCAGAAAACAAAATCGGGGGGTAGTAGTTACTTTCGCCCGTGAATATGCGCTCTCGATTTTAAGTAAAACGATCTCGTTAGATCTCTTGTCCAAATTACATCGGGAAGAGAGTATTTAAAATTCAAAAACACGTTAGCGGTTCTGATCAGGTTCCCCACTTGAGAGGTAAACAGAGAGACCTTATCGCGAGATTTTTATCTCGTAACGGAGACTAATCAGCGCCAGCGAACCTCCTTCCCTTTCTCCCTCTTTTTCTCTTTATCTCTCTCTCTCTCTCTCTCTCTCCTTCCTCGGTACTGGACACAGCCATCCATTAAGCTCGAGTCTTTGGTTTTGCACACAGGTGGTGATTATTCTTATGAATTTTAAACAACGTTGCGCACACGCACACGCCGGACCGGCGCGAATATAAATCGTCGTCGTGCGCGTCCTTAATTGGGCCCGGGCGATGATTTGTTCGCGACTCGTGACGCATCGGTCGTGTGAGAGGAAAATCCTCCGAAGAACGGAGTGGATATAGACGCATCCGTTGATTTACGAGACGTCGTGAGAGTAGTGACACGCGCGCGCGCGAGCATGTATGAGAATTTTTTTTTTTTTTTACGAAGAAGAGGAACTCGCGCGCGCGCGCGCGCGGTTAATCGCGCGGAGAGAGTGCGCTAACAACCCTTCTGGGACAACAACAAGACAACTACCTGGGAAAAATAGAACAAGCGCCGCTCTGTGGCTTTACCTCTGTGTTGCACGTGTGGTAGCGTTTGTATGTGCCGATGCAAACGGGTCTGGCGCTCGTACGCGCCGATACAAATGGACTCGTTCCGTTCTCCGTGATACTTCGTCTTCTCAAAAATCGCCTGAAACGAATAGACCGCATTAGTTCGTTCATTGAGACCAGAGCGCGAGCGAGTAGGCGCGGTTTTTATAATAGCGGGAAAATATCGCGTGTTTCTTTTTCAGATCAAAGGAAAGAGAACATATATATATATATATAAATGCGTGCGATAAAGACGACCAGTGTTTTCCGTTATCTAGATAAAATTATCTAGATATTCATCTAGATGTGATAATTGTTTTATTTTATCTTTATCTAAATAATTAAAATATATGACATCTTTAACTGTATCTCAGATAAGAAAAGTGGTATCTTTTGTAAATTATCTAAGATAATGAGTACGCTTTCTGAATGTGGACTTTTCAGTACGGGATAACAAATAATTGTACCTCGAAGAAACAGTTTATCCGATAGCACATTTGAAAAACTATTATTTTCTACACCGAAAAAATTGTATTCTTGTTTTGAGGATATCCCACTTACTTTAAGTATATTTTATACTAAAATAGGCGTCAAGAAGAGTTTCTTATTTTAAGAGGAAAATCCTCTAAATAGTAACATTGATAAGAATATATACTGATTAGAATATAAAAAGCCTCTATAGAAAACCATATATATCTCACTATCGAAAAAGACTATATTCTTAAATAAAGAATATATTCTTAAATAGAGAATATATTTGTAATTTCAGAAGAATATCATCTAAAATCTTTAAGAAGATTTTTTAAGTATAAAATCTTCTACTTACGAGAATATAATTTTTTTGGTTTAATAAAATTTGAAATGAATTCTTTTCTCTCTTTTTCATCTTTATCATTAAAACATTTATATAATTTTGAAATTTTTTATTTTGGCATTTTGTTCGCGTTTGAATCGGCGCCATATTTTATAAATATAATTAATTAGTATACCTTTCGAGTATATTCACCGAAAAAATTGTATTCTTGTTTTGAGGAGAGATATCCCACTTACTTTAAGTATATTTTATACTAAAATAGGCGCCAAGAAGAGAGTTTCTTATTTTAAGAGGAAAATCCTCTAAATAGTAATATTGATAAGAATACATACTGATTAGAACATAAAAAATCTCTATAGAAAACCATATATATCTCACTATCGAAAAAGACTATATTCTTAAATAAAGAATATATTCTTAATTTCAGAAGAATATCATCTAAAATCTTTAAGAAGATTTTTTAAGTATAAAATCTTCTACTTACAAGAATATAATTTTTTCGGTGTATAGATTTTTTCTTGAGATGTATTATTTAATTTCCTAACTTCTTTAATATTTTAAAATTATCTAGATAAAAATCTCAACTAAATCATCTTTTAATTAGATATGATCAAATCTCGGATTATCTTCATCTTATCTGAGATACATACGTATATGTTTTATCTAATCTGTATCTAGATTATTTCAAATTATCTAAGCGCAACACTGAAGACGACAGAAAGACGCTTTCGCTATAACGCGTCTTCTTTAAATTTAATTGTTGTCATCGAGATGAGTAATTATATGCTCGCGCAATGTGAATACTGTTCTTCCGCGCGTATTTTTTTCCCGTACCGTATCTGAAAAACTCGTTTGTCACGCGTTGGAAAACCCGTAAACAAAAAATAACGCGGAAATGTATTCCGCCCTTATAAATCAAGAATCAGCTGGTATACGCTGTATTTACTTGCGCGGCGCGCTCTCGTCACGGAGATTCGTATTGCGAGTCACGTAACGACTCGCGGTAGCGTTGTGAAGGTGTAAATGTCAGCGGCGATAACAACACGTTTCTGCCCCCCCGAGAGAGAAGCCCTCGAGAATCCTCGTCGGCCTGCCGGTGTATAATCTTCTTACGCTACTGATCCGTAATTTTCTTGCTGCTTATATAGCCGGGCGCGATAGAACGTACAAGGTGAGACTCTCTTGCGGTGTATCTTTTCCGGTTAAAAAAAAAATCAGTTTTAAATTAAAATCGTACCTTAAATTACTCTTCAAAGGATTTATATATTGTTACACACTTCTTTGTGTTCGGGGTTTTAATTATAAAATATATTAGTTTTTTTTAATCTGAGAGAGAGACTCTCATCGTTCCGAAGGAAACGAGAAATGACGAAATCGACTCGCAAATGAATTCGCGTAAAGAGAGAAAACGCGGACGTGCAGAGAAAGCACATATTTAAATAATATAACGCACAGCGCTTCCGCACACATGGAGTGTATAGCAAACATTTGTACAAATATTGTAAAAATTCTCTCTCTCTCTCGACTCTCTTTCGTGAATTTTAAAACAAAGTTCTCGAATCAATAGCGAAGCGCTCTTGTGTGCGCTCACATTTATAATACAGACGAAAAATCGTCACGTTATTGTGCAAAAGAAAAACTTTCGTACGCGTTTTGTTCGAAATTAATTAATTCACGTTTTATGCATATATAATAAAACGCAGCGTGTTTCTTGTTGAACAAAGCGATCTTTTGCCGGGCATAATTAAATTCCGTCAGATAACACATGTGCAACATAAAAATATTGTCTTTCTCTTTGTTGTTAAACATTTGTTCCTACATGTGTGTTTCAAGCTTTATTAAGCAATTTGTTTCTACACCGAAAAAATTGTATTCTTTTTTTGAGGATATATCCCACTTACTTTAAGTATATTTTATACTAAAATAGGCGCCAAAAAGAGTTTCTTATTTTAAGAGGAAAATCCTCTAAAAAAATAGTAATATTGATAAGAATATATACTGATTAGAATATAAAAAGCCTCTATGGAAAAACATATATATCTCACTATCGAAAAAAACTATATTCTTAAATTAAGAATATTTAATAAAAAAGAAAAAGAATATTTAAATATTTAAATAAAGAATATTTAAATAACGAATATATTCTTAATTTAAGAATATAGTCTTTTTCGATAGTGAGATATATATGTTTTTCTATAGAAACTTTTTATATTCTAATCACTGTATATTCTTATCAATATTACTATTTAGAGGATTTTCCTCTTAAAATAAGAAACTCTTCTTGGCGCCTATTTTAGTATAAAATATACTTAAAGTAAGTGGGATGTATATCCTCAAAACAAGAATACAATTTTTTCGGTGTAGAAACAAATTGTTTAATAAAGCTTGAAATAGTATTGAAATAGTAGTTTAATAAATTTCTCAAATAAAGAATATATTCTTTATTTCAGAAGAATATCATCTATAAAATCTTTAAGAAGATTTTTTAAGTATAAAATCTTCTACTTACGAGAATATCATTTTTTCGGTGTAAAAAAAAAAAACCAGAAAAATTAATCAACGATTTCAATAACGCGGTACGTTGCGCGGACGGGGGGGCGAAGAAACGAGGAAGATCAATTATTAAGATCGACCGATCGATGAATATACGGCTCGAGTATAGCGTGATATTCGCGTGTACGAAATTCAAAGTTCATAAAGCGAATAGTCTCGCGGCGAGACTACTCTCGTCTAAGCGCCCAAGTGCTTATGATCTAAATTGCGCGAGACCCTAACGGTAATCCCGCGAAGAGGTGTGTGATTATTGTTAGGACGGGGCAAGGTGCTTTGCATTCGCGCGATCGAACAGCGACGCCCGGCGATTACCGATCCCCGCCGTGACCTCCGGCGAAAGATCGTGCCCCCTCGGAAGAACGAAGGTGAAGCGAGGTGTGGAAATCATTAATCGAGCGTGAAGATATTCGAATGACGCATCATCACAATGAGGCATCATCTCTTCTGTGTATTTGTTACTTAACCGAGCTTCATATATACCCCGCAATTTTATTTTTACCGGACACGATATGAGAAAAAAAAAACATAAGCTTGAAACAAAGCTTTAATTAGATTAATGCGCTTACCGTAGAGGAACGCATTCCCGTGATTGGGACTGGATACCGGTGCCGCAGGACCTGGAACACTCGCTCCAAGAGCTCCACGCGCCCCAGCTTCCTCGCACTCTGTTGTCACGCCCGATTCCGAGTTGAGTTCGCTCCTGCAGCATGTGGTACACCTGAAGAGATCGAGATATTGTCTCGTCAAACTCGTTGTTGTTCAATAACTTCCTTCTTTGTAAATCAAACAATTATTCGGAAATCGACCGTAGCGCGGCGCAATTTTTATACTTCGTTGTATCTGCTATTTTTTTGTAACATAGATATTACACACACGTTTTTACACCGAAAAAATTATATTCTCGTAAGTAGAAGATTTTATACTTAAAAAATCTTCTTAAAGAAATTAAGAATATATTCTTAATTTCAGAAAAATATCATCTAAATTAAGAATATATATAATTTAGAAGAATAT